ATGGTTCTCTATCAGTTCCCACAGAACACAAACGACCAAAGATATGTAAATGACACAGTAGAGTTTTACGTGGAAAACTCCCAACTCACGGGATTAAAAGCCACGACCTATACTTGTAGGATTTCAACTTCACTACTGAGCAAACTTCAGATTATAAACTATTGTAACCTAGGAATTAAACTCTCAATCCCTCACTCACTTGTAATAACTCTATTACATGCCTCTTTGTAATAACTCTATTACAAAGCTTACAACTCGACTAACTCTTGCCAAGACACAAACACAAGGTTTACGGTTTTACAGTTTATTTCCTACACAATGCTTCTAGTTAAGCTAAGTAGTAATTACAAGTAAATCACTCTAACAAAGGTACAACACAACTAAGGAAATATGGTAACGCAATGCTGGAAACTGGTCCTTGTTCTGTTGTTATTCGTTCTTTAAGACTTGATATCACTTGCGAGATGGCAGCACACTTGAGAGAGAAGCTTGATAATTTTCCAAAGTGTTCACGTGACATGTTTTCCCTTGCATCATGTTGATAATATACAAGTGATGTCACTTAGATGATGCAAGCAATTATCCGGTACAAGGTATTCCCCATAAAGTGACTGTTGCACTGTTTGCACTGTTGCGTGTGTGCAGAGGTACAGTTGCAGCGACTTTACAGATGTGGGGAGTTGACTGGTACAATCAACAAGGGAACTGATGTCCATGTGTTCCTTCTGTCGTCTCTTTGACTTTAATTGTTGGAACTTGTGTCCGACTTGAGACTTGTTGTTTTCAAGCACTTTGAGGATGTGTAACAGGTTCCCCATCCGGTTCTTATCATTAAGTTGGTTAGATCATCAAAACATAATAAGGCACATAACTTATCATGTACATTTCAACTTTTTGTGTTGTTTCTTTTTAGGCAGCTTTAAACTTAGTAATACAATATACTCTTCTTATTTTGCAGCAGACATGAAATTGTGGTCAGAAAACACATATGTCACGACTCAAAACCAACCCATTGTGATAGCGCCTATCGTGGAACTAGGCAAGCCAACTACTCAACCATTTCATCACAACAAAACTTTGAAAAAATACGGAAGCAATTAATATTTAAGGAAAACCTTTTAAAAGCAGAATAACATTCATAACTCAATATACAATCTCTCCCAAAACCGGGGTGTCATCGAGTACATGAGCATCTATACAGGGATACAGTCTACTACAACATCTAAGGAATAAGGACTAAATATAAGTAAAGATAAACATGGAGAGTCAAGGTCTGCGGATGCCATGCAGCTACCTCGATAGTCTCCATAGATCCTCACTCCACACTTAGCAGCAGCCGTGACCGGAAGCACCTGGATCTGCACACGAGGTGCAGGGTGTAGCGTGAGTACAATCAACTCAATAAGTAACAAATCCAACCTTTAGATTGAAAGTAGTGACGAACTCAACCAGTACAGTTCAATATAGAAATAACAGTGCAAAAACGTAGGCATGCTTTCAAGTTCAACAGCTAAACTCAATACAGTAAGATATATCAACTCTGAATGATATGAAGAATATAACTCCTCTACTTTTACATGCCAATGCACATGCTGTATGTGATGCACCATGGTGACAGCCTCATGTGCTCACACTCTCGAAATGCTCAATCACTCAGTACTATATATGGCCAATCCGGCCCAGGGAAGATCCATCCCGGAATGTATACATCAACTGACCATCAGTCACTCAGTACTGGGTAGGGCCAATCCATCTTGTGCGGAAGATCCATCCCTAGGTATAAATGCTTCGGACAAGATCCATGTCCAGGGAAGATCCATGCCTCAATATAATCAACAGCGCTTACTGGCTGTGTGTGCAGACTCCGGAGGGGCTCCATAAGCCCAACCGCTATCATAAATCAGTAAAACCCGATGCGGCGTGCAGCTCGATCCCATAAATTTCAATTATAATCAGGCCCTCGGCCTCGCTCAATCATCAATCTCTCCAGTCTCTCTCTCACGGGCTAACAATGTCATGAAACTAGACCGACAATGATAATATGATGTATCAATAAATAGCAACAGAGACTGAGATGTGATATGTAATGAATGAATATGACTGAACGAAATTTCAATGAAATCAATAAGTCAACAACAAGAAACGACTACTATGGTCCCAAAAGTACCAACATATAGCCTAAACATAATCTATAGCATGATTGAAAGCTCAATTACTTTATCACATCATGAAAATACGGATAACAACAAGATAAATCCGCTATACAGTGCCACGGAATCGACCAGGTCATGATCCTCACGGTGTACGCCTGCATGCCCGTCACTTGGCATATGCGTCACCTCAACATCAATCATATAACACATAATTCGGGGTTTCAAACCATCAGAGCCATGTTTAGAAGTGCTACTTACCTCAATCCGAGCAAATCCCTACTCTAATACACCTTTGCCTCGCAAATCGGCCTCCAAATGACCCGAATCTAGCCACAAAACAGTACGATACAATCAATACGGGCCAAAGAAATCAATTCCGCAAGAAAATACAAAGTTATAAATTAAAAATCCGAAATCGTCTCAAAGCCAGCCCCCTGACCCACATCTCGTAATGCAACAAAAGTCACAAAACCCGAAAGCCCATTCAATCACGAGTCTAACCATACAAAATTTATCAAACCAACACCTAATCGTCATCTAAATCCCCAAATCAAACTCTCCAAATCCCTAGCCTTAAACCCTCAAATTTAACATCAAAATCACAAAATCTAGGTGGGAAAATCAATGGGAAAACAAGATTATTGATCAAAAATGAGTACAAGGAGCTTACCTCAAGAATCCCCTAGAAAATCCTCTCAAGAATCGCCAAAACCCAAGGTCAAAATTTTAGAAATGGTGAAAATCTCGGAACCCTCGTTTCTATATGTTCTACCCAGGCTTTCCGCACTTGCGACAACTTAGTTGCTTCTGCGGCCTCGCAAGAGCGATAAAATGCACGCTTCTGCGGTTTCCTCCGCACCTGCAGCCCAACTTCGCTCCTGCGAATACGGTTCTGCAGGCATCCAGTCTGCTTGTACGGACTCAGCTCCTCTGCCCATTCTCGCTTCTGCGGTGCTCCATGACCGCATATGCGGCAAAAACCTTCGCAACTGCGGCCATTGCCCACACCTCTCCAAAACTCCGCATCTGCGCTGCCCTCCCCGCACCTATGATCAAAGCTCCGCAGGTGCAGTTACACCAGCAGAACCCAATCTTCAGCAGTCTTCAACTTCAAATCTTGGTCCGAAAACCATCCGAATCAACCTGAGGCTCCCAGGACATCAACCAAACATACCAACAAGTCCTAAAACACGATACGAACTTAGTCGAGCCTTCAAACCACCTCAAACAACATCAAAAACACGAATCGCACCCCAATTCAAGCCTATTGAAACTAAGAAAATTGAACTTCTACAAACGACGCCGAAACCTATCAAATCACATCCGAATGACCTCAAATTTTGCACACAAGTCAGAAACTACACCGCGGACCTACTCCAACTTCCAGAACTCCAATCCGACCCCCGATATCAAAAAGTCCACCTCCGGTAAAAATTTCCAACAATTCAAGCCTTTTCAAGCCTAATTTAAGTATAGACCTCCAAATCACAATCCGGACACGCTCTTAAGTCCAAAATTACCCAACGGAGCTAATGGAACCATCAAAACTCTATTCCAGAGTTGTTTACACATAAGTAAACGTCCGGTCAACCTTTCAAACTTAAGTTCCCAACCCTGAGACTAAGTGTCTGACTTTATTCCAAAATCTCTCCGGATCCGAACCGATTAACCCGGTAAATCATATAACAACTATAAAGCACAAAATGAGAAGTTACTGGTGGAACGGGGCTATAACGCTTAAAACGACTGGCCGGGTTGTTACAACATATATTTCACATTATGATCAGATTATAAGAAAATTATACTTTATTTTTCACTGTTAGGATTTGAACAAAGTTCACCGATCATTTCAGAACGGAAAAGTGATAGTAAAACTACGTTGAAACCAGAAAATAGCAGTTAGAATAGAAATGTAATAATATTTCGAGCCTACAAAATTTCTTGTGTGTCCTTAAGGATTTTAATCGCACCACTGCTGCCCATAGTATTCGGATTAATTGCTCATAGGATAGAAAAACTATTTTGTAATAGTGTCACTTCATATTATAGAAATTCAGTAAACACAAATGACATAATAAGTCACACCATGTAAACTCTATTTGATTTTACAAATATACAGAACTTTTGGAATGTCAATAAAAAATCTGAAACAATGCCTACGTATTTATAGGCAATGAAGTTGGAACTTGCATATATGTTGGATAATAATTCCCCTAGGGGATTTTTGCCCTTCACTCTCAAAAATTTCTATTGGAGTTCCATTTAATATGATGAAAATGGAACTCCAGATCAAAAGTATATTCTTCAGTTCCTCAATTAAGTCATAAGACTTGACGAGTAATTGTACTTCCCACCTCGTCAAGTAATTTGTTTCATAAATATGCAGAATTTGACTCATAATAAAAGGAAATTAATTCAGGGAGAACTCTATCATAGTTCTGCTATTGTGTATTTATAAATCAATATAAAATGTATAAATATTAAAATGTATCTTTTTTTGTGCCACATAGACATATCATCAGCTATAAACTCTAAGGTATCTTCCAAGAAAATCGTGGCATACAATACTAGTCCACAAATTCACACCGAATGTTTATACCTAACTAAATAATTAACTTTAGGTATCAATAAATCAAAGTAAAAAGTATATATACAAGATATATGTCTTACACGCACTGGTTTGATATAAACTCTGTTTGAGTAAATTTTTAACTATATAATAAGTGAAAGTCGTTCTTGACGACGAAGGGTAAAACCGTCATTTGGGTAAGTTAAAAACAACTGGCTTCCACTTTCTCCACTTATTTTCAGGTTCCATGCCCATTTCTTCGAGAACTCTTCCTCCAAAATAACAAATGGAGGCTAAAAAATACATCTATTTAAAGCTCAGGGTTTTAGCTATGTTTAGAGATAGATACTTAGATACATGCTTTTCGGTATTTTTGAGGACGAATGGATTCTTTGAAGTGCCTATTAACGGTGAAATTGGTACACATGAATAAAGCGAAATACAGAATCTATTTAGAAATTAAAGAAACCAAAAGACTAACATCGTTGGGCACCCTCTGTCTCTTTGATATGTGATTCCTTCCTATGGCTGCAGCACAATTTGTCATGTTTTAGTTTTAAGTTATTTTAATTTTACTCTTGTGGCATCATTGCAGAATTGTTTCAACAAAATATTTGTTCAAGGGTGCTAGCAGAAATGCTCCTTTTAAATGAGGTAAGCCACTTCTTTGCTTGAAGTGCCTTGAAAAGAAGAGTTCTGATCAGCACCATGTCAAGAAGATGTTGGTAAACTCTATTTTTATAAAGTGCTCTACACTCCTCATGACAAGAAAAAGTTTCATATGTATTATACTATTAAACAATGAGGTCCTTTTGAATTTACATAGATATGGCTCTTTGGATGAATATTTAATTGAATTGAGGACAAGTTATTATTATAAATACAAGGCCTGACAAGTCACTGTACGAATTGGTATTTCAGAACATATCGGGCAGCACAACAAGACTACAACAAAGCGTCAAACTGGATTATTCAGCTAATGTCAAAGTCAGGAACGAAACAAGAAGGGGGGCTTGCTGAAACTCAATTTCATGAGCTCGGGTATGTACTTTAGTGGAATTTATAAACTAGATGCGACACAACACTTACATCGGGCCTTGCAGTTTGAAAGTTGAAGGTTCTCTCTTTAGGAAGTGGTGCAATATAAAATACTATACAGAATATTCTAGCATAGATGAAGCATCATAAATATCAAGAACATATAACATTCTATAAAATGCAAACTTTACTGTACATGGAAAGAATGGAAATATCCACTAAAATCATTGAGTGATTCGTATCGAGAAAGAAGTCCAAAATTTATAACTCTCTTACAAACTCAAATACTTACCTCTTGAAACAAACACAGATTACCTCTTTGGGCAAATTTTTGTTGGTGATAAAGTGTGGTTATCTTTGTATCTATCTTTGATTGTTTGATGTGGGGTGTATTGTAGGGCCACTATTGAACGTTAGAAAAATGCTTGACGTAGAATATCCTTAAATAGGATCCAACGAAGGGTCAGAAATGCATGCTTAACTCATAATTAAGAGTGAGAGCTGTGGTTGTTTTTCTCAAAATTTTCGAACCGCCATAATTACCTAAAAATGCTGACTATGATATAAATGATGACACTGTAGGTTCCACAATTTTGAATTTATTCTTTTTCCTAAAATATTTTTTGTTTGATGTGATTAATGTGTCAAATTGAAAAAATCTGTGATCAAACAAAAATTAGCATATTGGGTGTGTTGCTGATTTCTTCCTTTTTGGAGGAGTTCTTTAGTATTAATTCACTTTTACTTTTATATGTGGCCTAACAAGTTCAATTTTGTTTTATGGGTCATAAGGTGTTGTTGTTTGGATTAGAAGAGTGATATTGTGTTACATTTTGTTCTTTCTTTTGTAGATCAACAATTCTGGATTTAATAACTTCTCATGTCATGCCATGGTTTACTAGTGAGGCTGCTCAAGGAGATTCAATGTGAAAATATGAAAGATGTTATCGAGGAAGATGAGGATGAAGAAGATTGAAATGACAAGGGTGAAGAGGAGATGATGGAAAAGAATGTGAGATTTACTTATCAAAAAAAAAAATTTACTTATAAAAAAAAACATTTACTTATCCAAAAAAAAAAAAGAATGTGAGATTTTTTGCCTGCTTTTACAAAGTGATTCGACTTTTTCCTGTTAATCAATGCCATGTTATTCCAATTAAAGAGGGTTAATAGATTTTTGTAAATTCTGTTTGCGAAGTAAAAGTTAATGTATTGCCATTCTCAGCTGCCACATGTTAATAAAGGGTATTGTAGCCATAAAGATTGCTTTTAGAAGTTAATTTGAGTGTGTGTTTCTCTGACATCAAAGGCTTGAACCACTAGAATAGAGTGGGTGATGAAAATTGGAAAAGCAACCAATGAACTAACTCTTTTCTTCATTCTTTTGTCATGTATTTTCTTGATATTTTAGGGTCTTTATTTTAAAGCATTCTGTTTCATGAAACTTTTGTACAATATCTATAAAATTATCGTGCATATAAACGAATTGTTAACTGATTTGATATGTTATTTTATTATATTTTTAACTGATTCAATATTGTGGTTAATATCATTTTCTTTTGGTAAATAGTTCCCTGTTGTAATTCTATTTTCATCTCTATAACTTTACAAAGTTGGTTCACTTTGTGCAATCTCTGGTAAGTTTTTGATTCAAGAAAGTGGGGTTTGGTTTCAAACTATTGATCTGTTTATTTTTATTTTAAAGTGGTAGTTCTGATTGCATTTTCTGAGATTTTGTAATCTTGACCTAGAATCCTAAATTCCGGATGTGAACATGTCATTAATAAGCAAAGAACAGTCCAGTTCATGATATAGGATACTGCAGTAAAATTTTTTGATAAACTGATACCATTTTCCATCACATCCTTTCCCAATAGAGCTGAAGTTCTTCATAGGCAGGGTAGAAAATCTTCTCTTAAGAAAAAAGACAGACCAGAGATGACAGAGGGATTAGTTAATTACCAAGGTGCATCTAACATTATTACATTAGATTGATATTTCCAGATCTGTTATCAAGTGGTCCTTGAGAAATAGATAAAACTGAAATTTACATATCCGGAAAATGAAGGTTCACAATTATTGTGGTTGGCGCAGAGGTTCTGAAAAAAGAATGTTACTATCTTCTACATAGAGCGTTAATGATCCTAATACATCTAAAGTTCTTTGTGACTGATCCTAATACATAGAGCGTTAATGTCACGACCCTAAACCCAGACCCGGTCATGATGGTGCCTCTCGTGAAGACAAGGTCAGCCGACACATTTCCAATCCAGTTTTTAAGCAATTAAACGATAAGCATTACGTCTAAAACATGATAATAACTCGAAGGTAACAATGACAATACATAACAATTTGCGGAATACAACCCAACTCATCCCGATATCGGGGTGTCACTAGTCATGAGCATCTACCAAGGTCTAAATACAACAAAAACAGTAACATGTACTAAGTACCGAAATGAAATGAGAGGAAGGAAGCAGTGTTGCGAATGTTGTGCCGCCACCTTGCTAACTCTGATGACTCCGCGTTTGAGCAACCAACACCTGCTACCGGGTTCCGAAATACCTGAATCTGCACACGAGGTGCAGGGAGTAATGTGAGTACTCCAACCCAGTAAGTAATAAGAGTAAATAAAGACTGAGCAGTAGGAAACAATGAATCCACATTTATCTTAAACTCAATAAGCACACAGGCTGCTAAATCAGAATACGAGTCAATCGCCTCTTTTAAAATCCAGCTTTTGATAAAAATCATTTAAAATGCCTCCCGACGGATTCAGTAGGGGTTCAATACCATTTTTAATAAAAGAGCTAAAAACCATAATCGGCCCCTCAGGCAAAACATAGTTCATAAACAGCCCCTCGGGCATAATAGGAGTCATAAACACCTCCTAACAAGAAAATCTCAGTGGAAATAACAAAAGCCAAATCAGTGATTAAGTTCTGAACATCTCATAAACCCCAGCTTAAATGAAAGTTATTTAAAAATATTTATCTAACATTTTCGACAGAGGCTCAGTATAAACATGAGTGAAAACAGTCACTAAATCAACATATTCGATAGAAACTCACTCTAAAGAGAAGTGAAAATCAATAAGTTCATAATCTGGCCCCTCAGGCAAACATCACTCATGTGCATGTATATATCTATCGCCCCTCGGGCTAGCCTCTCAGTCACTCGTGACTCAACTCCTACTATTCAGCGCTCACACTCAGCACTCACGCTCAATAGGTACCATATAGCAACCGCTGCGGCGTGCAGTCCGATCCATGAATATAGTCGACTGCTTATTGGGGGTGTGCAGACTCCGAAGGGGCTCCTACAGCCCAAGCGCTATATCGCTGCGGCGTGCAGCCCGATATATATAGTGCAGCCCGATCCATAGACATATAATCCTCACAACCAGGCCCTCGGCCTCACTCGGTCATTAACCTCACAATCAGCCTCTCAGTCTATCTCAGTCATCAACCTCACAATCAGACCCTCGGTCTATCTCAGTCATCAACTCACGATCGCTCGGACCATCAGTAAAATAGGGAACCCAGCCCAAACAGTTTTCACATTTTTAAGAAATATAATGATAAAACCAGATTTAAACAATAACCAGGTAAAAACATGACTGAGGATATGCTTTCAAAACAAATAGAGTGAAGAAAAATAGTAAAAATGCCCTTAAGGGTCTCAACAGGTCGGCACAAGACCCCAAACATGGCATACAACCCAAAATATAATATCAATCTCTAGAACATGGAATATCATAAGGTTTCAAATCAAATACTCGACTTAACAATCGTACGGGACGGTCCCAAGTCACAATCCCCAACGGTGCACAACTCCACGCTCGTCATCTATCGTGTGCGTCACCTCAAAATAACACAACGATGTGAAATCCGGGGTTTCAAACCCTCAGGACAGTATTTACAATCATTACTTACCTCGATCCGGTCCAAACTCTAGCCCGCGATGCCTCGCCCGCACGAATCGACCTCCGGATGCTCTAAATCTAGCCACAATCAGTACATAATCATTAAAATATGCTAAGGGAACGAAGCCCACTCGAAAATATCCAATTTAACATCAAAATTCTGAAATTGCTCAAACCCGACCCCTGGGCCCACTCTCGAAATTCGATAGAATTAACATCAATGGAATCCTCCTCCTCTCACGAATCTATACATATTAAGAACACCGAAATCGGAGTCCAAATGACCCCTCAAATCCCCATTTTAAGGCCTCTTAAACTCAAGCCCTAATCCCCAATTTCTCTTCCTTAATTTCCACTAAAACCATGAATAAACAATGAAATAATTACCATAAATACAAGGTATAAAGCCCAAGTGGCTTACCTCTGTGGATACACTTGATCCCCTCTTGAAATCACAACTTGGAGCTCCAAAAATCGCACAAAAATGGTGAACAAAAGACTGAAAATCGCGAAGGGGCATTTTTATACATTCTGTCCAGCACTTTCGCATCTGCGATCCCATAAGCGCATCTGCGCTTCCGCTTCTGCAGGAAAATACCCGCTTCTGCGGATTTCACTTACTCCTTTAGCCTCCGCATCTGCGACCCAGGTATCGCACCTGCGGTCCCGCAGATGCGGTCAAGGTCTTCGCTTCTGCGGCCAGCACCGCTTTTGCGGTCTCCTCCTCACACCAGCGGCGTCGCACCTGCGGTCATGAGATCCGCAGGTGCGGAAACAACAGAGGCAGCAAATTTTCTGCTGCAAAAACTCTAATTCCGACTTCCCGATAACTATCCGAAACCATCCCGAGGCCCCCGGGACCTCAACCAAAAGCACGAACATATCCCACAACCTCATTCAAACTTGTTCCAACCTTCGGAACGCTCAAAACGACATCACAACACCAAATTCGTATCAAATTCAAGCCTAAGAATTTCAAAATCCTCCAAATTACTCTTTTGATCAAAAACCCGATCAAACCACGTCTGAATGACCTGAAATTTTGCACACACGTCCCAAATGACACCACGGGGCTACTGCAACTCTCGGAATTCCATTCCGACCCCTATATCAAAATCTCACCTATCAACCGGAAAAATGCCAAAATCTCATTTTCGCCAATTCAAGCCTAAACCTTCCACGGACTTCCAAAATGCATTCCAATCACGCTCCCAAGTTGCAAATCACCTAACGGAGCTAACCAAATCATAAAAATTCCGATCCGAGATCATATACAAACAAGTCAAATATTTGTCAAACCTTTCAAATTTCAAGCTTCAAACTGGGAACTGTTCTTCCAAATTCATTCCGATTACCCTGAAAGCCAAAACCAACGATTTACATAAGTCGTAATACATCACACGGGGCAAGCCATGCCCGAGAACTGGCGATCAAGGTGCAAAAACTCAAAACGACCGGTTGGGTCGTTACAGTGAACACCAGTACAATCCCTTTCCACTGCTTTGTGACTGATCCTAATACATCTAAAGTTCTTCATTCCAAAGCCCATTTGACAGCATCCCTCCATGTTCAGTTCACCAACAATACTAAGCCAAGAGACTGCAAGATGGGGATGTCATCTGTGCAAAAGAGGTTTTCATAGTGAATCAGCCAGGCTAGATGAAAGCTGATCTCCCAAAGATTGGACGAAAAGATATCTCTTCCTAGAGATTCGAAATGGTCCATAAAACTCTGGATTAATGTAATTAATTCATCGCTCACGGTGAATTAATCCGTTGGATATCTCGTAGAACTCTCCTCAATGCATGAAAATGCTAAAGTGTTAATGTGTTGTGAAGTTTTTATAACTTGACAGTAGTGCTTCCTTTTTCAGTGATCGTATGAAGTGCTTGAAATCAGTATTAAAAATGTTTTTTTGGTATTGAACTTTTTTCATTAATCTTGTAAATATGCAAATAACATAAAAAATATTTGCGGTCATACGCCCGTGCGGGCATGGGCACAGGCATCTAGTTTACCTATAAATAGGACTCTTGGTTGTCCCTTGGAAGAATATGATCTTTTGATTCCCTCTCGACGAAATTCTCAACATAAATCCTTTCGTTATTTCCGCTCTTTTGTTTCCTCTGCCGCCTGCATCTAATAAACCTCACATCTCATACAAATATATGAATACAAGATTAAAAAACTAACGATATCAAAGCAAAGACAACAAAGTCCTCATAAACCGCCTACTTCCTTTCTAGTTTCACAGGTGAACTAAAGAAAGAACCAACCTTAAGGTTGCGGAATTACAAAGATTATTAATAGCTTGTTTGGATGGTTGTTATGTATCGTTTCATAATGTGTCGTATAGTATTGTATTGTTTTGATGTATATAATGTTTGGATAGATTGTATTGCTTGCCGTCGTTTCATAATGTCATGTACCAACAACGCGAAGAATAAACTTGTAATATTATAAAGAAAAAGTAAGGTACGACGTATAATTATATAAAAGTTAGGGCAAAGGATAAAATAAGATTATTTAATAACAAAAAAGGCCAAGACGAGAGGGGGAAAAAAAAAAGATAACGATGCGACGACACCAAATCGATTGTCCCTAAAGTGACACTTTTTGTTGTTACGTAACAACGAATTTAATGATACAATACAATAAAATTTAAGTAACAATTAAAATAAATATTATATTTAAAGTAACAATACAATACAATACAACAGGTAACAACAATCCAAACAAGCTATAATACTGTGGAAGAAACAGACTAGGAAATAACTGATTGAGGAAAATAAGCAATTACAAATATCACCACATATCTATTAAGAGTCCCCCTCAGGTAACATATCTACCCTTGCTTGCAAAGATGATCTTGTGCTTTGTAACTTAAAACATCTATCAAAGTACAATCCAATATAAGTAATCTCCTTAATGTTTGGCAGCCTTTTAAACCTTTCCTCTTCAATGTTGTAGAGGAGAGACAACTTACAGCCGCCGTCAATAATAATGTCACCATTATTGTTACCTTGTAATGGCAAATACCCCGTTATTTTGAACCAATTCCCCATACCTGATAAATTGATAGTGTGTTCCTTGACCCATTCTTGCTTCTTATGATCCTTGAGAAAGTATAGTTCCATCCTTGATAATTCTTCTGTGTAGTAAGCTAAACATAATTTCCCATTCAAATCAGCTAATTGGGTATTCTCATACAGTGATAGCTCTTCATCATATGGCTCTTTGGGGCAACTGATGGTACTCAAGAATTCTTCATTTTCAGTTTTCATTGAAATAATATTTTGCATTATATCTCCTCTTCGAACCAACCAATAAATTACATTATTTACACATGTTGAATCTAGCTTACGAGAAAACCATTCTTGATGTGGCAGGGGTTGCCATGAGCTAGGAATTGGTCCACCGTCTCTTAGTGTGAGAATCTCGAATCTGAACTCCAATAACTCACCACCATAGTTAAAGTTGTATTTACGACTAATCTTGGTACCATATAGATGGACAATCTTGTATGTATTGTTGGAAGGGATATAGGCAACATCAAAACTAACTGACGGATAACTTGAAATTGGTAAGATTATGATTTCTTTAGTACTGGGATTGCATACCTTGTGATTGGAAATGATAAGGTTGGAGGAGATGAAGAAGGAGCTTTCAGGGGCAATAATATCCTCAAAACTGAACTCTTTCTGGATCTCTCGGTTGTCAACAGCGAGATCCATGGTCGAAATATCAATAGTTCGACTAATCATTTTCCTCCTGCCTGGTGAATACTTGGCGTTAGGTACTTGAACTACTAGTGTTCGAGGACGATTCAAGGATTTCATGTTGTAGAGTCTTCTGAAATGTGGACTAGAGATGGTTCTGAACCACTTCTTTGAAACTGTTTGAAGTTGGTGGACATGTTTGAGTGAAAGCCTAGAGAGTATATCCACCAGGACTTCACAAGGCAGAGCCATGATGTTGGAGCTCAATTCCATTGTATTGTCCATTCGTCAACTGCTTAATTTGTGATAGAGAACAGAGAGGGAGAGAGATCTAAATTGTGAAATGAGCCTTCATTGACTTTCTTAAAGACATGCCAAGCACCTTCCTTTATTGACTTAATTAAAATAAAGATATGAAAGCTCAGTAGGTTAGAAGACATATATTTTACTAATTCATTACTCCCTCTGCTTTAATATAGATGACATATTTCGCTTGTCCAGAGTCAATTTAATGAAACTTTGAAACAACCAATTTAGATATTCTAAAACTATAAAAGTACTATAACTTGCAATTTTTCTCTTATTAATATGATTAAAAAAATATATTTTAAAATATCGGTCAAACTTCACGCAGTTTAATTTTCTCCTAAACAAGACTCTTTAATGACGACATTGTGGATGCTATTGTTATTGTTATGAGAAGTAGAGATCCTCAATTTATAGATGTCGAAGACTTTTCCTCCAAAAAAAAAAGATAGGGCATAAGAAGGAAAT